CATCACTTTATAAATTAAGCGAAAAATATCAAAAAATATTGAAAGGTTATACTTTTGATCTTATTCTTTCTGACCATCATGAGGAAACCAATGGATAATAAAAATCCTTTCCTTTTTTCTTTTTCTTCTATTATTCTTGGTCATCATGGGAAATAACAAAAGAATAGGATTGAAATGAATCAAAGAACAAGCTTTTTATTCTTTGTACTATAGGTCTTAAGACAAAAACCCATCAAAAGTCCTAGGGAGAACAATCCATAGCATTATGCTGGTCTCTTAGTTATCCCTGCTCATAGGATTATTTATCGAGTAAGATCACTTTTAAAATTATAATTTTTTGTTGTTTGAGGTCTATTTTTCCCCTGTTAGTCCTCTAGGATTGTATAATTTGAATGCCATTATCTTTTTTACATCCTTTTCTGGAAGATTGAACCATTGTCTATTTGAACCTTTTTGTACAGAATATTGAAGACCTATCAATCTTTTGAATGCTTCTCCACCACTTACATATTCAGCATCATGTAGCATATTATGATTTCTTGATGCATATACTCTCCATCCTAATGGATCAAAAGCTTCATCAATCCATGTGTTTCCAATCTTTTCATTCCATCTTCTGAATACAGCCATCAAATATGTTTTTGGTAGAGGACTAACAATATGAAGGTTTACATGACATTTCTTTTGTCTTCCTCCCCTATCATACCATATACCTCTAACATCTAATTTGAATTTTCTAACATATCTCTTAGCCTCATCATAAAGATCAAATGTATGTAGATCTGATTTGCTCATTCCACTATCAATGGTCACCCTGTAATGGACCAAGCTTTTATTTTTATAATCATATGACCTAACCTCAGGATTCTCCTTCAATATCTTCATTGAATCACTCCAACATATCATCCCACATTGATCATAATCCTCCTCCCTTATACAATAATATGTGTCATTTCTTTTATCCAATACATATCCACCAACACAATTATCTATTAGATTGACACTACCTTCCTTCTTTTCAATATTGTAGACCTCTATCATTCCTTTTCTCCTCATTGCAACAAACAAATCATATCTGGGAAGGTTAGGGACTTCTCTATAAACATCATCAACAGCTATGATTGAGATTGAATCAACCCTTACAATCATTGTATTGATATTCTTCCTTCTAAGATTATAAATGGACACTGTTGTATCTGCCACAATAGAGTCCTGGACCTTGTCAAAATCGAATTTTTCTTTCATTCCACTAATACTTCTCACTTCTGGATTATCAATGATCAAAGGTATAATACCGTCAGTCATTCTTTTTGGTTGCCTAGTACTGGTGTAATTCTCATCATGGACTTGTATAATCTTTCTTATATGGATAAGCAGGTCTGAATCATCAATCTCCAAGGTCCACTCATCCTTTTCCTTTCTTAGTCTTGTTCCAGCTAATATTATGGAGTATGGATCATCAAATCTCATGACTCTATTCAGTCTATCACCATTACTATCCACAATTAGCTTTGTTGAAAAATAAAATACATCTGCTAAATCCATCTTGACCTCTAACACAAATAGATTTGTTGTGTGGCATCACTTTACAAATGGGAATAGAAAGACAAATAAATAGAAAGGGTGTTTTAAAAGATACAACAAAGGCTTAGAAGTTGTCAAGCTCAATGACTCCAACAACAATATCCTTTGCATTGATCTTGTATCCTTTGGCATCAAGCTCACTCTTGAATTCAACAAGGTCCATAGACTTTTTGCCAGGATAGTATTTGGAATACCAATTGATATAATGATTGTAGAGCACATCACTAGTGGTATCACCTTTTGTTGTGGTATCATATGTTGTACACTCATGCATAAATCGATATACTGGATCTCCCTTATGAATAAAATCCTTTGTTGCACTACTAATCTTCCTTGGCTTGACTAGCCCTTCTTCCTTGTAGATACGAAAGAAAGACAATAAAAGAATTCTTGCAAGAGATGTGCTAAGCTCTCTGAAATTGTCCATTAGTGATACATCCATCTTGTGAACATATTTCTTGTTACGCTGAATGACCTCAGGGTTCTGGACAAACTCTGACATGAATGGAATAACACACAAACGACTCTTCAATGCCTTATCTATGATACCAACATTGAAAGAATTGTTAGCTGCTATCATGACCTTGCCATCAACCTTAATAGGTCTTTCATTCTTGAACAAATCTCTACCAGACATCATTTGGTCACTACCACTAACATTCTTGGCAAAAGAACTGTTGAACTTTCTATTCTTGGATGGTTCCATATAAAACATAGCCCTTACCCTATGGAGCTTTACCAGATCAGATGTTGCAGAACTAGAAGGTGCAATATCACCTTGTATTTGGGAGACTCTTGGCTTGTATGAATATGTTCCAAGAATGTCTGC